CTTCTCCCCGCTGCCCCCAAGCCTCCCGGTCCTGGAAACCTCCTTGGTGCCGCCGCAGCCCGCCCAGACAACTCCTCATCCCGTGCTTTCCGCGGGGCTCCCTTCACTTCTCGCAGTTGTTTGCCCCCAGCTTGAGCAAGAATGACATTACAGTGCAGCCTTGCCTGTCCAGCTTGCCATCAGCGTGCTCCTCGTCTTTTTCTTAAAAAGCTTTCCTTTGCACCCGTGTTTTCCCTCCGTGTCCGTGTAATTTCTCTTCCTGTGCTTTCTTTCTCTTGCCTTGTATCACCCCTATAATATTGTACAGTTACCATTAGGGACCTCCTTGTTCCTCTCGTGCTTCTTACAGGTTACCCCGGTTATTCACCTGCGTAGCATCCTTTCTCAGTTCAGCATTAAACCACTCATCTTATTTCTGTTTCCAGCAGTACCTAGATATAACCACGATAGGTCTACTAGAAATGTAGAGGCTGATTCCACTAAATGTAGTCACCTAGAAACCCTTTTTCTCCCTTTGCTTCCATCTAGGCTGAGAGTGTGGGTGGTTTCTAAGTGACTGAGAGAGGTGGAATAGGTAGGAGGAAAAGCGACTGAAACATTAGGAATAACTTGGAGGGAGGAGGGTGGAATCGGTCGTCTTTGCTACTGCTGTTTGTTCCACTCCGGAGAAGTAGCAGCAGGAGGTGCTGGAGGAGGAGGATTTACAGCAGACGCTCTGGAGACCCGGAGCCAAACTCTGACTGCTGGAATTGCACACAGGCTACATATGCCACTGGGAGGTGGTGGAGTGTAGTAATAAGTGCGCTTGGTTTTATGTATGTAATCACTTGGATAATCACAGGAAAATCTGCAAGTGAATTGGACTATATCAGATTATTTGCTTTTTATGTTTGGTTAATACTTACGCATTAAGAAATCAGAAACAGCCTTTTAGAAAACTGTGGGCAGCTTTTGGGGTTTTTTGTCTTTTTTGTTGAGTTGGGAATAGTTTAAAAAGCACAGGTTTCTGGCTATTAGTACTCTGCAGTTTGATCTGCAGCGAAGGGCTGTTGTTTGTAAGAAGTCATTTAATGCTGGGAAATAGAACTACTGATTGCTATCAGGCTCCTCTTTTCTCTGCTTTCAGTACTCAGATTAATTGAGAAACTGGCCTTCATCTACAGCAATATGCATGGGGGCAGATGTATGTGAAGTGCTTTGCTTGTTGGACATTTAACATTAGCTGAGTATTAATTCTTTCTTTAAACTATTACCAGTGTCTCTGTTGACTGATGGTGATTTCCTAGTAATTTTCTAAGTGTCTCATTTGTTTCTGCCACTAAGTGCCTTCTAAAGGAAATGCAGTTTGCTTTTGAGTATCTGGATTATCGTATGTAACACAGCAGAGTTATTATCGGGTAAATGAAACTTGTTTCTGAACACAAGAGCGAGGCATGACCTTGGATATACTGACCATGATTTGTCAATCAGATACTGAAGTGTCTGCAAAACAAACCTGTTTCTGTAGTTTTCCCAACTCGTGTATGTTAATGAATCTCCCCATACATAGGTATCATCAAACAGATTAATTCTGGGTTTTATATCTTGTTTTGCCCTGACCATTGTTTTGGAACCTAGTCAAAATATGTTCAAAGTATGTCTTCTCTTAAACAATTTTTGAGTGAATAACACTTTTTTTTTGGAATTGTATGTTATTGTAAAGCTCCTTATTAAATAATACTGTGAGATATTTACTAGACGATGAGGAAAGCTTTGTCCTCCATTATGAATTGAAGTGCTTTTTATTCCTTGAGATATTCAGTACTGGAAAGGTATTTTTTGCAAAGTTCTTACAGCAGCCATAAATACTTCTGCTAGAGAGACTTCCTGTTTGCTGTACTTTGCCCTGTGCTGTTATCAAAAGACACCTTGATTTTTGTTCTAGAGAAGACAAGAGTGAAGAAAAAAGCCAGCCAGAACAAATAAGTAAACTGGCAAAAAAAAAAAAAAAATCACATGACCCAGAATGAGTATTTTTTCTTTTAATTAGGAAATGCATTCTTGCTTTTATAATTCAATGATCCAGTCCTACATATCAATTATTGTTTTTATTAACTGAGGCAAACTTTTAAGGGTAGTGATGTATCTAGAGTTACATAGAGGTGCCCAACATCTTCAGAGCTTCCGTTACATCAGAAAGCTGTTACTTGAAAAAAAAATTGACCATTAGCAGTGGTTTTTTTTTATATGTGGGCTCCTGACTCTTAAGAGTGATAATAGAGAAAGAAAAGATGTACCCACTTCCTCCACTAGATTTGCATTGAAAATTATTTTCATGTTAAATTGAATAGAGTTGTAAACACTGCAGGAACACTTGTTAGTCACAACAGTGGTGGAATTATGCTAATATAATGCTGATACTCTGTGGTATAGTTGATACCATGCCTGTTAAGATGCTTGTGACTTGCATGTAACGCAAACTCAGGAAATTGATTTTTGTTTAGATCTCTGGCTGCCAGGTAATTTGATGCTACTGAAGTTCAAGGCAGAAAGATCTGGTGATGACCGTGAGTTCTAGTTACGGGTAAAAGGAAGGAACGTTGTTAAATAAGGGTACATTTAAACCCTTATTGTCATTGTTTGAGGACGAGAAATCCAAATCAGATTTTCATGCATGTAGTTTCTCTTGAATTACAGAATTTAAACTGAGACAGTTATGTGAGTCAATTCTAAAATATTTGCTTATAGGACTAAAGCTTTCAACATGTGGAACCAGACACATAATATTTTAACTACCTTAGTTTTAGGGAGTAGACCAGTATGGCTAGCATCATTTCAAAAGTTAATTGGAATGTTTTGCTACTTGTTTTCCAGACTTACCTACAGGTTGGGAGGAAGCTTATACTTTTGAAGGTGCAAGATATTATGTAAAGTAAGTTGAATATTTATCTGTCACAATACTGTAATTTTCAGTTAGTTTGTCTAAATGTTGCTGTAATCCTGAATGTATTCCAAACTGATTTTAAATGTTATGCTATACATCTAAAAGGAGTATTCAAGTTTGTCATAGTGTATGTAGTCCTTTGTTTACTGAATTCTGCACAGCTAAAATAATTTCTTGAATTTTTGTGTTAATACTTTTAATTAAAGCTGCTTAAGGATGCAGATTCAAACGAAATTACTGCTGTGAGTGTGACCGTCTAGCAACAAATGTCCTTGCAAGTCAAGAATACCTTGAGTTTGGCTGTTTGTTTGACACTTCTGTGTATACACTGTCATGCCATAAATGCTTTCAGAAGGGCAAGATCTTACTTCGTCACTGGGAGAAGAGTCTTGATTCAGCCCTATTCTCTAGTAATTATGTTGTTTAAAGCCACTCTGAAGGTTTAACGAGGCTGTTTTCTTTGCAGACCTCCTGTTTCTGCTTCTAGCATTGATTTTCATTATTTTTTTCTTCAGGATTTAGTATGTTTTGAGGGGTGTTTCCACTGTGGTAGACTTGCTGTATGCATTGTCTTTTTGAATGAGAAGCATGGATATAGAGCTCTTATGTAGAAGTCCAGAGGTCGTGTTGATCAGATCCATACAAACGTCTTGCAAGCTTTTCCTCTCCAGATAGTCAGACCATCCTTATCTGGAAAATTTTAAAGTGGCACCTCTGTATATTTGTCTGGTTAATATGCTTTTTTTCTGTTATTTAATAATTTGCAGGCTTTTCTCGATTCATTCAGGAGTTTTTACTCGCTATGCTGTGTGTTTGGTTTGCCATCTGTAAATGAATAGTGTCATCAGTGGGATAACTTGTGTGAGCGAAGGTTACTAATAGTCATAGAGGTTATAGGGTGCAGGTAGGGTTTTCTGTGTCTTAGCGCTGAGCAAAAGGTAGCTGCTCTGTGTAAGCTGCATTGTAGACATTGTGAGATGGGTGTTACATATGTGTTGTATGGTTTATTTTATAGAGGAACGTGTTTGATTTAATCCTAAAAAAAAAAAATATACTGAAGGATAATGCTCAAAAAATCTGGTCAGAACTGGTACCGGCCTCTCTAGGAGGGGTGGTCTTGTTAATAGGCAACATGTTTGTTTTACTGTTCTATTCTGCCTTCTTGTAATTTACATTACACTAGTGTTGTATAGCAACTGAGAAGAACTGCACCAGACTGAGGACAGGAATGTACTAAGGATTTCACTTCTGGTGTTCTGTTCAGATTATTAAAGGAAGATGAGTGAAAATTAAAGAAAGCTGTGTTTGTGTGTGTATATAATATAAAAAGAAATTCTTCTAGACTTGCAGATGGAACTTGTTCTCATAGAATAAACCTATGAACAATGTGTTAGCTGTAGTAACTGGAAAATAACAACTTGAGATTTCTTAGAATAAAAAAAAACCTGTGTGGACAGCTATTGTGCAGTGACCGATGCGCTTATGCACAAACTTACCAAGTGATAGGTTGTTTGTGTACTCTTGTGCTTACGAGATCTTGTGTTCAAGGTGTTATCGTAACTGTTAGGATGTACATTAAGCTGATTGTTTTGCTGATAGCCAACACTGAATAGCTCTGTTTATACTTAAAAGTTGTGCTGCATCTTTGAAAACATGTTGCACAAACAACAGTTCTCTGTGATTTGGTAAATGTAGGAGGATAGCAGTGATACTGCTGTCAAGCCTGCTGAAAAGTTCACGTGGTATGACCAGTTTGGCATCCTTAGTTAAATACGTGTTTGTTGTGTAGCCTTCTGCCCAATGATAGCTTCTCCTTTTAAAGCTGTCTAGCATTCAGCCCTACCGGTGCTAGAGAAGATGCGAGAGCTAACATAGACAGGGTGACAACATTATAATTGCTATCTTATAATCCTAGGCAACATAACTCCAGATGATGTGTTGATTATAATAATTCTAGTTGTCTGAACCTAAACTTCTGTGGTTCTCCCGCATGAGTGGGGAAACAGCGCAGGTTGTTGTGCCCTTGAGCTGTATGGGCACCCCCACGTGTGGATTTTTAACTGTAACCTATTTGAGTGTGCTGAGTTGCTAAACATTAATGTTTATTATGTTGACTACAGCATAATAAAACTATGTTAAAACTGAAAATGTTGAAAACTCATTCATGATCAGGGCTGAAAGAAGTACCTTGTTTTGTGTTCCAGTATGAGTTACAAAGTTACAAGGGAATGAATGGTAGTGGCAGGCTATTGATGCATTCAGCCATGTGAAACTTGGCTGTTGGATTTCTGTAATGGGTCCAATAAGAGAGTTGGACAAGAAGGATAGTCAAGTTTCCTGATCACATAAATAATTTCACCTAACTTCTGAGGCACAGCTTCAAATATGTGGGTTGAATAAAAATATTTAACAACCTTGCTTTATGGTAGGATCTTATGCTAGACTGTGTTTGAAAATAAAAACCTTTTGCAAATTATTCTCATGGTTCTTTAATAATAGGTCTTCACTGTTCCAAGTGGGTGTGTCGCTGAATCTATTACTGTGCTTTTTCTGGCTTTGATGTAGTAAACACTGTATAATCAAATTGGGATAATGTTGAGGAGATAATCGTCAGCTAAATCTTAACATTCCTTGGACTGGCGTTTCAAACAAATGACTCAGGATACAGACTGCATTGAAATGTGATTATTTTTAAAGGACACTGTATTTTTTGGGGGATGTGTACATTCGTTTTCAGAATAAGTGAATACCAAATGGTGACTATTTTACACACTTGTTTTTCCCCATGACATTGAATTTGTTCTAGCTTTAAAAAGGAAAGATGTTCTTAAACAGGGATAGATATGGAGTTGTTTCCATTGCATAAGGTGGTTTTGGGTTTTTGTAGAGTTGTGTTAGTAAGTTGATGCTAGCTAGGATTTTGATCTTCTTTGCAGTTTTTGGGTTAGTAGAAGAATTCTAATACTTGGTAATGACAGAATCTTTCCCCACATCCTCCCTATCGCTTGTAAATGCATATGACAAAAGGTGTTGTTTGTTATTTGGAGTAAAAAAAATACGCAATGTGTAATATTGTATATGTTCTCATGAGATGTAGTTACATTGTTAATGTGTTTTGTCTCTTTGGGAGTGAGAGAGTCTGTTTTTGTTTACTTAACGTTAGAAATGTGTGCAGATGGCCCTTCCTCATCACTTGATGGGAACTCTTATCAGTAAACTTTTCTGAAATAATGCTTGGTTTAGGTGTAGTCTTTGTTTATATAATAACTTTCACCTGGAATATAGGGCTGTATGACTGTAGAATCGACACATTTGAATATAACCTTTAATAGCTTATTATCAGTTAACTATTGAATCTTCTGTATTATGAAGTAAAACAAGATATGGGAGAATTCCTCAGTTTGAAAATGATGGCACAGCATGCTGAAAAATTTGTGATTTCCTTTTGTTCTTCTCGGAATACTTCACTGGACGACTAATTTACACTTAGTGTATTGAGCACTCATTGAGCTCTGGAAAGTGAAGGGCTTTATCCTCAAGACAAATTTGAGCTGGTTAGTAGTATGGAAGCTTGAGTTACTTACATTATTTATAAGTGCATAAGGAAATGGACCCACATGACAATCCCAGTATGATACTTGTCAATAGAGAAGACATACCTGGTCACAGGCTTCAGACTCCTCACCTATTAAGATCAATGAGAGTTTTCAACTTGATGTTTTTTTGTACCTTGTGATGACTGCATAGTCATTAGGCACCAAGATACTGTTTTTGAGGGCTATAAAATCACATAAATATGTCTTTCTCCATGTGTATATATATGTGTGTGTGTATTTATTCATATGCATATGTTTAAGAAACCCTTATTCCTGGTTAAAACCACCTCACTATCTAAACTTTGGCATTTGCTTACTTTTCTTGCCTTTTTCCCTTTTTCATTTCAGTAGGTCTGACAATGTGTTAGGATTTTTGTATTGATTTTTTTAAAAAACGGATTTATATTGTTTAGGTTATTAATTTACCAAATAAATTTGTTTTAAAAATCAATCCAAGGGTGATATTAGAGGAATTTTGCATCAGTTTAACTAGTTTGGCTTCTATAGACGCACTCTTGGATAAGATGTTTGGGTGTTAGAATTTGATATTTCTTAACTCTGCTGTAGGACCGATACTTTTGGGACAGTACAAAAGCTGACGGGAAAAAGTTCTTAAAGAATTAAGAAGGTTAAAGTTTTGTTTTTAGAGTTTTGTGTTGAAGTTTACCTTTTTCTGTATTTATTAGAACAATTTTTGCCTGTCTCTTGCTGAAGCAAGGGATTGGCAAGCCCAGGCCAAAGCTGAGGTGAGTTCACTATTGCATCAAACAGAGGCTTTGTATGCTTTTATAGAGACTTTTTATCAATGCAGGTTTGTTTATTGTAGGCATGTACCTTGAAAATTGGGAAGGTAAGAGAAATTTATTAAGTGATTAAAAGGGATAAGATCTTTTTCAGCTTTGAATTTCTGTTGTTTACTAAAATAAACCTGCGCTCATTGAGAATTCAGCTTTTGTTTGAACCTTTGTCTTTCATGTGCATTATAAAGATCCTCTCCCATTCAGCTGAGAAGTTCTACTGAAAAATCAAAGAACAGCTAGTCAGGTTCACAGAGAAGCCCTTTCTTGAGAGGGAAAATGGGATTTGTCAGAAATAAGAGCATACCAGATTGTTTTCTTCCAACTGTAAGAATCACAGAGTACCTCCCAAAAATTTAGTTCTTCTCTTGTTACCTCTACCCTCTATTTTACTAAAATTAAGGAAAGACTAAAGTTTTTTCTTGGCCTTCATTCGGTTCATTCTTTCACAGTAAGACCTCTAGGTCAAATAGTGGCATATGGCTAGATGGGTGGACTGAGACAGAACATTACAATGAACTAACTCCGTGCCTTTTATCATTGTATTGAGCAAAGCTGTTCAGAAAAGGAGAACTTTTTAGGAATGCCTGCAAAT